GAAAATAGGGGAAAAGTTAAGGAATCAAAAGCCTACTGGAATGAACCGATCCAGTGCATTCCTTGAAAAACGAAAACGAAGCAGTGAAAAATATTTGGCACATTCGGATTGGTGGGGGCATCTAATGACGCTAGTCCAGGTTACCTTGTAGGGATCTATGAACTCCCATAACCAATATGGTTCAGTCGCAGTTTCACAGGAGTTTACAGGACTCACCAAAGAGTAACCTTTTTACTGAACCTCAGCAAGAAAAGGGAATTAGTGAAAGTGCAAAATACTCCTCCCAGACCGAACAGCACGGTGCCATTTTTTGATAATGGTCAATTATGAGCTAAAATATAAATGAGTTCTCGAAGAAAAGTTTTAGAAAAAGTTTGCTTTTTTATAAAAGAGTTGCAATTTCAGTTCAAAAATATGGACATGGAAATGGACGATCTAGTCATCGAAGAATCGTTATCGATTCAAACCACAAATATGATTTGTTCGAAAAAAGAAGAACTTGAAGTGAAAACGGTACTTAGCAACATGAGATCACTACGTAAAGGACTGGCTGATGTTACGAATAGGTAGGTCTTTCAGTTCCCGGGCCATTTTCGCAAGCCCCTAGGCCAGCTAAAAATAAGCAAAATATTCCAAATACATTGAGTGGATCGAATTTTAGCCCGAGAATTTCTCAAACGGAATCGCCGAAATCGCGAAAATCGGTATTCGCCAAGCCGCAATGCCGTGCGATGAGCATGCACAACAATCGTAAAAGGGCTTTGAAGTCCAGTTTTCTGGAGTACAAACGGAATCGAGTCGAAGAGACCATCGAGGAGCATGAGGTACTGCTAGGTGGTCCTGGCAGCCTATTGGTTCTTGCAAAGGAAGTTTTTATTTTCAGAATGTTCCGAGCTGTTCCGCAGCAGCCCCACGGCCGGTGGCACGGACTTCCATGATGTTCAGAGTTCAGTCGTCGTCCGTGCTTGAAGTCGGCCATAATTCTCCTCATTTCCTTGAAGTGGTTCGTCTTCTGACTCTCTGGGTATCCCAATGGCTTCTAGGTTCAGCTGAGCTCCAGAGACAGCCTCTCTTCCTGTCCTCCATCGGTGCTTCTAGTACGATCCTTTCCTAGCTCCAGCTGAGGCTTCTACCCCCCCCCCCCTCCACGGACGTCA